TCTTTTTTTTTAATTTTTTTGGATAACAGTATGCATAAGCATCTGCTTCCTTGACTGCAAATGCCAAAGTTCCTGGCCAAGAACCGAAGACAGGTTTCTCAACATTTTGCAAATAAATCCTTTGGAAAACAAGGGATATCATGGGAATGAGACTACTTTGCAGTTAAAAAAATAGTGGAAAACTTGCTCGCTCTTTTTGGTGATGAAAAATACTCATAAATTATACATTTGCTTCTTGGATGGGCATAAAATCTGTGATGGTCTCACCTTCCGTCCTCAGAGGTATCCGCATTTGATCTTGTCAAAATTTCAGAAGGCTGGCCAGAACAGTAATATTTCAAGAACACCTTGTCACTTAGTTTGGTATCACAAATTCTCTGCAGGAAGTGACCGACGCCTCGTACTTCAATTTAGTGCATCTCTGGAGTCCAGGTGCCTTCCCGGTTACTCACATTTTGTACTGATGTAGTTCTACTGGGAGTTTCAGGGAGATGGATGAGGAGGTGGCCCCTGTCTGTAGGAGGGGAAAAAAGACATCGTGTGCAGCCGATGCTTAAAACTCTGCCTGTCATTTTCAAGAAGTGTCCATGGCCACTCCTTTGCACAGATCGTGAAAGACTGAAGAGGCTTGGGGCAAAGTCCCCGCAGATTGTTCCATTTCTTTATGACTTACTTGTCACTTCATGACACCTTGGATGCTCATTTTTCCCTCGTTTCACCTCCAGAGAAGGTTGCCAGGGGACACACCGTGTGCTTGCCAGCATCTTTTCTGTTCACGCATCTCTAGAGAAGTTTGTGCAAATAATATGCGATATTTTATGCTCTTAAATTCCAGGGGAGCAAATAAATGACTTTCTTAGCATGCTACCAAGCCAAAAAAAGGGGAAATTACCAGGTTAAATTTCACTGGTCATGGCCAAAATCTCATCTTCTATAACTTTCTGAGGAAATTTCATGAACAGCCTCTTAGTTGTTTTTATGTATAACTTTTTTCTCCTTTTTAACAAACTATTGTTTCAAAATTTATACAGGGTAAGAAATCAAATAGCCATCTCTGACATGATAATTACATATGGCTTTGACATACTTTAAAAATGAGCTATTCATAAATCCACTGACGGTACATTATAAGTTGGCTGTCTAAATAAGTTTCTCTCATGTCGACATAGTTGTTGTACTAAATGTGCTTCTGTAAGCAGCCATGAATTATTTCTGAATGGCTTATTGTCAAGAAATAAACAAGCAGATTTTTTCCCCTTTCTCTCCCCCTAAAATCATGTATTCTTTCAGTTAGAGTTCAAAATACTGCATTTGAAATGAATAATCTTGAGGTTGAAAAGGCAGCCCCAAATTAAATGTGTTTATTTTTCCCAATTCGTTAATGCCATATTCAATCAATAGCAGTTACTTTTAGTAAAATCACATTTGGACAGATAACGGCAAGGAAATGTTTAATGTGAGTCCTGAATTTTGATATGATAACATTGATACATATCTTATACAAAAGAATCACTTTTTCTTGAGTTCTGCAGAATATGAGTTTTTTTTTACAGTGACATCTTTCATTTTTATAATTTTTTTTATTGAAGTATAGGCAGTTTACAATGTTGTGTCAATTTCTGGTGTCCAGCATCATGTTTCAGTCAGACATATACATGAGTTTCTAAGTCTAGAGGTGTTTTAAAACAGAACTCTGAATGATGAAGGGCTGGTTGAATCAGTGCCATGCTATGAGTTCTCTGCACGTGCCTTGTGGGGTGTAGACTCCTGTAAAGTCTCATCTTGGCATAAGAAGTGTGTGTGTTGAGTGGAGAGGGTGAGGAGGTTCTGAGTGGGGGTGGGGGAACGGGAATGGTAAGGAGGATTCTGGTTTTCCTAGAAACTGGAAGTTTCCATAGAAAAAATATTGAGACTAATTTAAAGTTTTCCATTATAACATGTTTGCCCTAATGAATTTTGTAAAATCATGCTGTTTTATTTTTTTTTAATTACAAAAATTTTTGCTCAAATTTTTTTGAGGAGGAAGTAATTAGATTTATCTATTTATTTATTTAATACTTTTGGTGGAGGTACTGGGGATTGGACCTGGGACCTCGTGCATGCTAGGCATGCACTCTGCCACTGAGCTGTATCCTCCCCCACAAATCATATTGTTTTAAATATCCTAGAATTGCATTTAATTTTTTTGGAAATGGAAAAAGAGAACTAATCAGTCGTGGCTGCATAAGCTACTGTTCACATTTTGTTGCATTTTCTCCCATTATTTTTGATTTTCTATATTTTATGCTCCACCCAGTGCCTTATTTGATGTAGATTTTTCAAGCAAATAGTGGTGGATTACCTACGAAGCACCTACTCGAGCAGGTACTTGGCGTGGTTTATCCTGTTACATCTATATAGCATTCCTGGGAAGCAGGTAATATTGATTACTTCTGCTTTACAGATTTAAAAATTGAGGAAGACTTGTAAAGGTTCATTAATTTGCCCAAGGCCATGTGGCTAGTAAACTGCAATGTCTGGCCTTAAATCTGGGAAGCCTAACTTCAGAATTCTTGATTTGAATGCTGTGCTGCACTGTGTCTCTGCAAAGTTACTTCCAGTGGAATTTATGGAGATTGAAGATAAAGTTATCTGGTTAGTGCCAGAAAAAAACTTTACTATATTTCTCTGTTAAAGATACCACTTATGGGCTCCAAGCTAATTTTGTGGATTCATTACATTGTTCAGATTTATCAATCTAATTCTTCTTATCAAAATCATGGTTAACAATTTTTTAAGGAATATTCGGCTTAGTAACTAAGTAGCTAAATGAATGGCTTTATCTTTAGACTGAATTTTCCTTCTTTTGTATAAGTTCTTAATCTTTCCCTCTTCCTTGACTGTGGTTACCTAACTTAATCAGAGAATAGATTTTCTCGCTGCAAAGATTCCTGCTCATTTTGAAATACGTATTTCCTCTTTGGTTTTAAACAAGGGATTGAGGCAAAATTAATTGGGCCGCCCTTTAAAATTTATTTCTGCAGGTATAAAGCCACCATAGTGCTTAATATTTCTGACTGTACAGAAAATGAAAATTGCAGAAAGGATGCGTGACTCGCAGGGTTGAAGGCATAACTTACAAAAAATCAGCCTGAGTTTTTATTGCCCAGTTTCAAGGGCATAAATCCTTATTTGACTAAGAATGTGACTGTTCTTTGTGTAACTGTCTCCGTTATATTCAGAACTAGACATTAGCAGCTGCCCGAGCAAGCCTTTGGTGCCCTTTTGAGCAAATTGAAATGCGCAGAACTCGGAGAGTTGGGTGAAGAAGGCTGACCTTGAGACGGTGTGAGCAGTTACAGAGAACCTGAAACTCTGGCTTTTCCTACCAGCTTGTCTACTAGATTAAGAGTGATAGTAGCAAACATTTGTCATATTGGCATATTATAATGTACGTCTAGGTCCTCGAGTGAACTGCCGGGGGGAGAATTTTTCTGGAGACAACTGGGAGCTCTCTCTTCCACGATCAGGGGTAGAGAGCGAAGGAGAATGAAAATCGGAGCAACCCTGCTGCATATGTATTCTCGTGAGCTGCCTAGACATCATGCTGTCATAGGGAACTGAAAATGAGAATAGATTAAGTACAATTGGTACCTGGGGATATCTGGTTCTGTCACTCACTAGAGGATTAGCTTAAGAAACAACTAACCTCCCTGGGTCTTAGTTTCCTCCTCTGAGCACAATGAAAAGATTGGATGGGTTGATCTCTTCTAATATCACATTTATTGACGTTTCAGTAGCTTCCTAGTTCTTAGCTGGTGCCCAGCACATAGGAAGCCATTACAGAGCTTCTGAATAAGGGACTGTTGAGTTAGATGTAGGGAAACCTGGGGGTGATCATGTAATGCAAGAAAAAACACAAGAAGCTTTATGTGATTGATGAATAATACATACACGGCATCAAGAAAGAAAGGGTTATACATTTCATATTTTAGACTGAATATTTTCCTTGATTTCTGTGAGGACTCTGATGACTGAGATGATGGTCTTTAGAGTGAAACCAAATCACTGAATTCTGTAAAGTAGCCAAATAATCAGTCCTAAATGGACAGCCTTGGCGTAGGTGATTCTTGGCATCTAAATTCTACAGGGAGGGTAGTGTTGTGGGTTGAATTGTGTCTTCTTTGAAAAAGTATGTTGAAATCCTAATCCCCAGTACCTGTGAATTGGATTCTACTTGGGAATAGAATCTTCGTAGATTTAATCAAGTTAAAATCAGGCCATTATGATGGACATTAACCCAACGTGACTGGTGTCCTTACACGAAGAGGGACAACTGGGCACAGATGCCCACAGATAGTGCAGATGGGCACAGGCAAGTGCTATGAGAGGGTGGAAGCAGAGACTGGAATGAAACCTCTACAAGCCAGGGAACACCGAGGATTGATGTTAATCACCAGAAGCTGGGAGAGAGGCAAGAAACAGACTCCCCCCACCAGAGCCTTCAGAAGGAGCCAACCCTGCTGACACCTTGATTTCAGACTTAAAGCTTCCGGAACTGGAGAGAACACATTTCTGTTGTACTTTTAATCTACTCAGTCTTTGTGATGCCCTAGGAAATGAACACAGGTAGGAAACATCTCCCAAGCTATTCTGTCTTGGATGATGAGTTTAAAATAAGTCCAAGTAATAGAAGAGAGCTCGAGTGGCCACCTAACTATTTCTTTCCTAATCAAGGAAATCCAAGTTCTGAGAAACCCAAGGATTGTGGCCTTGAGCTAAATATTCTCACTAATCACCAGAAAAGGAGTCTTTTTTTTCCCTCCTGTGTTTAGAAACTGTCCACAATCACCCACAGTGTCAACGATGTGTGAAATTTGCAACCCTCTGCTTTCTACTATTCTAGTGAAAATAATTTTAAAGTGTAACTATTTTAAGATTAAAAGATAAGCATCATGCCTTGTGTCCCAGATTCAGGGTCTATGTGTGTATCTATGAAGGCAAACAAGAGCAGATCTCAGTGAGCTCTAGAGAGGATGCTCAGTGCGGCTGACTCGGTTTCCTAGCAACTACATGACACTATTTGTCTCTTGCATCAAATGAAATGGCAGTTGTACCCTGTGCTCCCTGCCCCCTCTTCCACATTCACCTCCTCCCAATGAAATCGGGGGAGCACCTTTGGGATATCGAATCTATCTAGATTGCTTGATAGTTAAAGACATGAAAGGAAGAAGTATTAATTTATCAGGCAAGTATTATACGCTTCAGCACTAGCTAATATTGTGCAGATGCTTCAAAGAAGTAAACAAAATATTAAGGTATGATCCCTGTCTCCCAGGAGCTTAAAATGTGGTGAAAATTGGGATCGAGAGTGTAGTAGACGCAGGAGTCAGATCGCCTTGGCCTTGATCTGACCTTCATGCAAACTGTATCTGAAACATTGGGCAAATCACACACTCTCTGCTTCATTTCTTCATGCATCAAATTATAGTAGCTCCTGCATATGCCAGAGGAGTTATTCGTGTGAAGTCATGTGCTTAATCAATATCGTCTGTTGTTATATTACTGATATTACTTGTGAAATTCCTTTGAGAAGCAATATTAACCAACATAAAAACAATTCTAGAGAAGACTTGAGAATAAACACTATGAAGCATGATTGAACCTTGACATATGTAGAACTCATTGCATGTCTGATGTCACCATTTTCATCTTGAAAGGTTAAGCAAGAACCAGTGTTATGGGCCAATAAGGAAGGGCTTACCAATAGGCTGTGTAGAGAAAGCAGTCTGTCCAGTTAATTTTTTTCATCAACTGGGTGGGAAAGGAAAAACGGGCAAATTTCTTTTCTTAAAATTTTGTGTTCGACTGAATGTTTTTAAAAGGGTTGCTGGGAATGTCCTTCTCATTGGTTAAAAGTGAATAGAATAGTTTTCTATGTCTATGAGTTTGTTTCTGTTTTGTAAAGAAGTTCATTTGTGTCATTTTTTAAGATTCCAGATATAAGTGATATCATATGGTATTTTTCTTTCTCTTTCTGGCTTACTGTAAACTGACTATGCTTCAATTAAAAAAAATGAATAGAGTAGTAAAACTCAGGTCACCAGATCTTAGTTGTTAGAGGCAGAATAGTGACCCCTCCTAAAGATATCTGTATCCTAATCCTTCAATCCTGTGACTGCTTCACCTGACATGGTGAAAGGGACTTTGCCGATGTGATTAAGCTAAGGATCTTGAGGTTGCTGAGAGCAGACTGGATTATCCGGGTGGACACAGTCTAACCACGTGTGTCCTTAATGGCAGAGAACCTTGCCTGGCAGTGGTTGGAGGGAGACGCCAGGAGAACGGTCTGCTGGGGCAACGAGCACGGAATCCGTGAGCTGAGGGATGTGGGTGGTCTTCAAAGGCTAGAAAAGCAAGAAAATGGACTTCCTGAGGCATCCAGAACGAGATGCAGCCCTGCTCACGTCTTAACCTCAGCTCCCTGAGACCTGGGTCAGACTTTTGACCTACAGAACATAAGTAATAAAGTGACATTGTTGTTAAGCCACAAAAGTTATTGTTTGTAACAGCAGCAACAGGAATCGAACCTATGAGCTCTTGCACCTTAATCCAAACAAGCTCAAGAGGATATTTTCAGGCTTTCCCTGCTCTCTCTTCCACTGTCTTTTGCTTTTTCCTTTCTTCCTTTAGTTGTTTTTTAAAGGCTGAAGGAGAACTTCCTTTCCTGCACAAGCTATAGTATCAGAGACTGAAAATACCCTCTGTGCTCAAGAAAATAAAAAAACCGAAACTAAAAACCAAACAATATATAAAATTTTGTTTTCAAGACACTAGGTATCAGGCTCAAAGCATAATGATCTCCAAAGAGAAGCAGAGAAAGTGAGTCTTGTCATTTCCCCCAGTTACTGCCACAGGCTACTGCACAGGGTAGGGGACCCAGCAGGCCTGTGGAGCCCTGAGCTGAAGAGTTGGGTTTGAGGGTTGATCTGGGGAGACCAGGAGGCTAGCGTTCTCTGGACAGGGCCCTGGAGAAAGGAGAGTTGCACAGAGTTAGCTCCCTGGAGATCCAAAGAGTAGATTTACCCTGAGGTATTCATCAGAGCACTGATCAGTGCAGGGGAAGAAAGAACTCCCCAAGGCCGAGGAAGCAGCCAACCAAGAGGATTAGAGGGAACAGTTGTTGGCACTCACGCAGAGCTGGGACTAGTTCCCATTTCCAGTAGCAGACTGGAAAACTCGTAACTCAAGATAGATCCTGCCCCAGTACTAGGAAATTATTAGTCCGAGACTGAGCACCTCTCCAGATTTGCGTAAAAATGAGAAAGTCAAGATCAAAAAGCTGAAGTCATTTCCAAGTACTTGACTGAATCCTAGAATAAAGCGCCAACAAGGCAGAATTCACCCTGTTTGCTATTAAAGTGATGCTTACGAAGCCCACAGAGAAGTAGGAAAACATAACGCATATGAAGAGGACGATCAGAAAATCAAAACTGACTTAGAACCGCCATAGATGTTAGAATTAGCTAAAAAAGAATGTTAAAATAGTTAGAACTATTTTTTATATATACAATGTGTTCAGTAGGAACAGAGAAAAAGGACCTACTTCAAAATTTTAGAGGCGAAAGTTACAATGTATGACAGAAAAATATATTGGCTGGAATTAACAATGGATTAGACATCACAGAAGAAAAAAAATAGTGAACTTAAAGCCATAGGAACAGAAACTGTGCAAAATGAGAAGTAGAAAAAAATGTAAAAGAACAACCTCAGTGAGTTGTAGGAAAATTTCAGAAGTTTCACGTCCTTGTAATTCAAGTTCCCATGGAGAGAAATGTAGGGGCAGAAGAAACATGTGAAAAAAGAATGGTCAAAATGTTTCCAAACTTGATGAAAACTTTAATCCCATAGATTGGGATCAGTACCTCGAAAGCATATAAGAATTTTAAATGTTTATGCCCCTAGTGACAGAGCTTCAAAATACATGACACTAAACAGCTACAACTCCAAGGAGAAATAGAAATATCCTCAATGATAGTCAGAGATGTAATACTCCCTTCTCGGTGAATAACAGAACAAGCAGAGAGAGAATTAACAAGAACGCAGTAGACTTAACCACACTGTTAACCAACGTGGTCTGTTTGACATTTATAGAATACTATACCCAGCAACAGAGTAATATTTTTCAATTTCAATTTCAATTTCAATTTCAATTTCAATACAATTTCAGTTTTAATACAATTTCAATTGAATTCAATTTCAATACTTTTTTTCAACTGCACGTGGAATACTTACCAAGATAAATAATATTCTCAGTCATAAAATAAGTCCCAAGGAAAATCTCAGTGAGTGATTTGTAAAAGTTAGCAAGCTGATTGCAAAATTCATGTAGAAGTACAAAGGATTTAGAATGGCCAAAATTACTTTAGAAAAGAACAAATTTAAAGGACTGGTCCTAACTGGTTTCAGCCTTAATAAAGCTACAGCAGTCAAGTAGTGTGGTATTGCCATTCAGACAGACAAACAGATCAATTAAGAGTAGAGGGTCCAGACGTAGACCCACATGTTTGAGGATACTGGATTTTTGACAAAGGTGGAAGAGTAATTCCATGGAAAAAAGATAGTCTTTTCAACAATTGATGCTAGAACAATTGAATGTCTATAAACAAAAACAAAAACAAAAAATAAAATTCTTTGATCCATACTATATTTCACCATATACAAAATTAACTTCAAATGGACTATAGACCTAAATGTCAAATCTAAGATGATAATAATCCTGAATGTAAACATAAGGGGAAATCTTTGTGACTTGATATAGGCAAAACTATCTTAGATATATTACCAAAAGCATAATCCACAAAGGAGTAAATTAACAAATGGGATTCATCAACATTTTAAAAAAATCTGCTCTTTTGGAGAGACTCTTAAGAGAATGAAAAAAACAAGCCATATAGTGGGAGAAAATTCAAGGACTCGTATCTAGAATAGATAAAGAGTTCTCAAAACTCAAAAAGTAAAAAACAAAAAACAAAAAACACAAATAAAACCAACCCACAAAAAATAGGCAAAAGATCTGAAGAATCACTTCACAAAAGGAGATTTACGAATGGCAAATAAACACAGACAAAAAATGCCCACTCATTAATTAGCAGGCAAATGAAAATTCAAATCACAGTGGATCTCATTACAGACTGTGCAAAAATGATAAAAATTTAAAAGACAGACCATACCATATGTGGTCAAGGATGTGGAGGAACCAGAAATGCAAAATGATGCAAGCACTTTAGAAAACAATTTGGTACTATCTTTAATAGTTACATGTATAAATGTCACATGATCTATCCATTCTGTTCCTAGTTACTCAGAGAATTACCCAGAGACTTGTACACAAACGTTCATGCAGCCTGATTTGTAAAACCTGGGAACTGGAAACATTCCAAATGTGTACCACATGTGAATGTATACGCAAATGGTGGTATATCTATACAATAGAACACACGCACAAAAAAAGCGATGACCTATTCATACACGCATCCAAATGGATGATTTCAAAATAACTATGCTGAGGGAAAGAAGCCAGACAGAAAAGGAACACAAAATTGGTGATTTCATTATATATCATTCTAGATCTGTTTCTAGGACCATACTAATTTATAGTAATCTAATCTATGCTAATCTATAATAACATGATGCAAATCAGTGTTTACCTGAGCAGGGGAAGGGAGAAAGGCGGTGAGTTTGGGGTGGTGGATATCAATGTTATTTTGACTCTGGTGATGGCGTCACGTGTGTACACATGTTACTCAGTCTGGGTTATGAAGATTAAATGCATTTGTACCTGGAAAGTCCTAAAAAGTGTGTTAAAAAGTAAATGTTTGCAATTATTAAATATTAACATAGTATCTACATTAAACTATTTCCTGTATTGGGACTTTTGTCATTTTCAACTCAGTTTCTCACAATTACAACCTTTCTTCTCATCTTCTATGGTTTTGTTTTTCTTCTTCCTTTCATGGTTTTGTTTTTGTTTTTGTTTTTTGGTTGTTGTTTTTAATTTCTCTTTTCACTTTTATTCTAAAAATGCAACCTTACTGCTTCTTTCGCTACCACTGGATTTCTTTGTCAGTGGAAACAATGAATAGTGTAACAGTCACTAATTAAAAAATCAATCCAATAAATATGTTTTGGAGGAAGAAGTTTGTGACAAGGCATGAAAAGAATGTGCCTGCTTTCAACAACCTCTGTAAAAACTATTTTGTATGGTGGATCAGCTTTTACATTAAGAGATCCAACATTTCATATGCACAAAGCAATAGGATTGAAATTATTGTTCTTTTATTTAATAAAATAATCAGGGAAAGAGAAAATCCTGATTCTATTTAGCACTATAGAATAACAGAGAGGAAAAGGTAAGCTTTTTCATCGTTCTAGTCCCTGGGTTTTATTCACTCTGGAGTTAATGCAGGAAGCAGTGAAATAAACCGCCGGAACTACCTGCTCATAGACAATATTACTGTGGCCCCTATAAGGAAATATAACAAGCATCTCTGTCCTCAGTTTATTCAGAGCTATTAGAGGTGGGATGGGAGTAAAGAGAATTGTGGTATGTCAGCGCGAATATTCCATTCTTAAGTGTGTCTTTTCTTTCCAATACAGAAAGGGGATAGAGGTTAGAGAAATCCGAAGACGAAGCAAAATAATTGTTAGAATTCTCTCATACAGGAAGGGCTATGTGGTGGCGCAAAATAGCCCTGTGATTTTCTTCCCACTAAATGAAAGAGGAGGGAACTGCAGAGAGCAGCAGTGATTATTCAGTACAGGT